AACCCTTGACTCGCAATAAGCTTCAAAAATTGTCAATTTTACAAAAAAATATTGTGTTTCAAAACAACAAAGCAAGCTATAACTTACGTTCAAAATAAATTATATCAGATGAAATTCAGCCAATATTTTGAAAAAAAGCCTACTCATTCTTTACAAACTCTGTGAATTCGGATTGTCAAAGCCAAAACAATTGTCTAGATTTTTAAAAAACATCAGCAAAGTTTGCAACAATCTAGAATGTTAAAACATACCTTTCTGAGGTAATTTAGAAAATTTTTCATGAAGTTTCAAGCAATATCTGAAAGAAAAGTAAAAAAGAGGATACAGAAGAAAATTGATTCTAAAATTTGAAAAAATTTAAGAAATGTCAACTAATAGAAAATTTTTTCTTCGATGAAACAAACTTAAACGCTTTCATCTTTGTTTACAACAAAATTTGAAATAGTTCGCAATTTGATCATTTTTTGCAAAATTTGCTGACCCCGGACCTGCAAAAAAAACTGTGAATTTTCTCAAAAATTTTTTCTTTGCTTGAAACAACCTAAAATGCTTCAAATTACGTTCAAAACCCATTTTCAGGTACTTTTGATAATTTTCTATCTCATATTTTGAAAAAAAGAGAAGTTAGTTATTTTTGAAATTTTTTCTGAACCAGACTCGCAAAAACCATAAAAATCGTCTTGCTCTAAGTGATATCTTGAAGAAAAGCGAAGGAAAATATACAAAGGGGGCTTTACCGTCAGCTTGAAAAAAACTCAAAAAAATATCTGTTGCTAGAAAGCTTTTTTCCTCAACGAAAGAATCTCATATGCTATCATTCCTGTTCTTGAATTTCAAAATTGTGACTTTTTTAAAAAAATCTTTAGACCCGAAACAAACCTTATTTAAGTTAAAAATACAATTTCAGATACTTTTGCTAATTTTCTGGCTCCTGTTATAAAAGAAAAATATCTCAATCAAACTTTAACAATGTCTAGTTTCTTTAAAAAATATTTTGCGTTGAAAAATTTAAATTGCTACAAAATACCTTTTTGCAATCATTAGGGCAATTCGCCGAACTCCAAGTGATATCTGAAAAAAAATAAAAGGAAATGATGTAAAAAAGTTTCAGCTTAAAGGACAAGTGACACTTTTCACCCAATCTTTTCTTTTCATTAACTTATAGATCATCTTTTAGAAGTAAGTTTTTCCTGGTTTGGAACAAAAAATTCTAATTAGGGGGCGCAGGGGGCGCGATTTTGCTTTTTATCACGTGACCCTATGACGTACATTGTGATAACTCAGAATTTTTCTGTAATTGATAGAGAGTTTACGAAACACGACGCGACAGGTCCAGACGAACTGTATTCGTTTACAAGCGTGTTGTAAACGTTAATATTGCACTCTATACCAGTATCAGCAATAACAAATTATCACAATCTACGTCACGGTGTCACGTGATTCATTTCCCGCCATAATTTCAAATGGGTTTTTAAGTGGGAAAATGAAATCAGAAAGGAAAAATATTTCAACAACACTCTCATACAGCATTTTACTCTAAGTTAAAAGAAAAAAAAATTTGGCGCCAAAAGCGTGTCACTTGTCCTTTAAAAATTAAAAAAATTTAAAAGAATTTAAATTTCTAAAAATCTTTTTTTGAATAAAGCAACCTTGCATGCTTTTATTTCTTGATTAAAACTCAATTTAAGGTACTTTCAGACAATTTATAGCTGATATTTTAACAAAGAATCTAATCATTTTTGAATATTTCAAAAAACTTCTTTCAGCTCAAAACAACCTAAAATATTAAAAATTACGATGAAAAGCCAGGTACTTTTGTTAAAATTTCTACCTCGTAATTTGAAAAAAGAACTTAGTCATTTTTGAAAAAATCTTTGACCCTGGACCAACAAAATAATTTTTAAAAACAGTGAATTTTCTCAAAAAATCTTTTGGCTAAAAACAACCTTAAAATACTTATAATATCCCATCATCGTGTGCTCTGTGCGATACCCAGATCTATAATTTAGAAGGTTTTAATGAATGTAAACAATGTTTATTTGTTTCACCATTTGTGATTTGATTTGTGATTTGGCCTCTGTATCACTTAGATAGTAGGAATGACATAATTACAAGAGAAAAAAGAGAAAAATATCTTCAGAAAATCTTAGCCAAAAAATTTCACTCGCTTGTTTTTACGACAATTTCACCATCCACGAATCTATATTTATTGCTGTGGCGATTTTCGCGCAAAAACATGCTTTACAAGCTGATGGGCCTATAGTGGTGGTGTTGACTCGCTGAAAATATGAGTTTCTGCTTAGTAAGCTTGAAAATATCTGACAATCTTTAAAGAAGGGTTGCAGAATATAAAATTATGTCAGTCTTAAAGTATCATATGTTTTCTTGTTGTTTTTTGAGTTCGAAATAGCGACATGTCGAGTACTACATATTGGGAAAAAGGAGTAGTATTTGCATGACAGCGAAAATAACCAGGTAAGCAAGAGTACACTTGAAAAATTGAAAAAACATTTTCCACATACCTTCTTTATGCTTTCAGCTTTTTATATAATCCGTTCTTTATCGTACATTCTTTATAATGCGTTCGTTCGTTCCATGGTAAAGTCACATCCATCTGCAACATGGCAAACAGCAGCCTCACTTTGGATCCCATAGACAGAACAAGAATTTAAAAGAGTGGGCTCCAGCTCAGGAACAAGTTTGGGTGAATTGATTTATCAAAAGATAATTGAAGTCCCATTCTGCAGTACCTGTCAAAACCTTTAGGGACAAAGCTATTCAAAACCTTGAACAGCATGAGTAGATTTGAAGAAAGAGCAATTGTTCAACAGCAGGCACGTTTGGAGCGGGTCTTATAAATTCCAGAGGCTCTTTCACGAACGTGCAAACATATTTAATGCAAAGAAAATTCTTAGAACCAGATTTTGACACCTATTATAAATTTTCATCTGACTTGAAGCTTCTCAAAAATTGCGAAGCAACTTGAATCTTCTTGTCTATTTTTGTACGCTTCTATAAAAATGTTTTCCCCTGTCCTTTTGACAATGATTTCCGAACTCTGACATCTTTAACATCAATTGCTTACATAAACTCTTCTTTATTATCGTCATCATCACCCTTCATTTCAAGCCCTGTAGGTCGACATCTCGTATTTCTTTTTGCATTGGTCCACACAGGTTTCACTGTGACTTGCAAATCAATGTTCTCTGGTCTTACCACATTGCAAAACCACCTGAATATACAGCTTCTCATTGTATGAGTGCCCTGTCTTCTTACCAAATGGCCAAACCACCTGAATATCACCCTTCCAATTTCAATACAGCTTCTCATTGTATGAGTGCCCTGTCTTCTTACCAAATGGCCAAACCACCTGAATATCACCCTTCAAATTTCAATACAGCTTCTCATTGTATGAGTGCCCTGTCTTCTTACCAAATGGCTAAACCACCTGAATATCACCCTTCCTGTTTCAATACAGCTTCTCATTGTATGAGTGCCCTGACTTCTTACAAGATGGCCAAACCACCTCAATGTAGCCCTTCTTAATTTGACTCGGCCTCTGATTAGATCAGTGTCATCTTCTCTTACCACATCATTGTACGGGTGCCATTCTCTTGCCAACCAACTTTGATATTGCCCCTCTCCCTTCGCCCACAATATTTTAGCTTAATCCATTTAAATATGTACGTTGTGTGTGGTACTTCATCAAAAATAACGATAATATAGTTAGCAAATAAATCTAGTACCAGAATGAAAACATAATAGTTTGATTGTTAAAAACACGACGTTTCAAGCATGTAGTCGTTATCAATTGATATCAATTGATACTCGTTATCAATTGATAACAAGTTATCGAGTGAGTTAACGAGTAATGCTAACTATATTATCGTTATGTTTTAGCTTGCCGTATATAGGTCTAGACATCTGTTTCCACTTTCCCCTACCCTTTTCGCTTCTCTTAAGCGCCACAACCCCAACTAACTACAATAGCATCCTATTTATTAAAAACATTCTAATAGTTCGTCCAACAATGTCTTCTCTTATACATAAAATCAATTCCGTTATTTCTGCATTTTGCAGTCAGCAATAGCTACTGAATCATTTGCGAACATAGGTTCCTATTTTTTCTTATCTTTCAACCATAGCAAGCATGAATAGGGTGTGTGGGCTTAGGGCTGACACTTGATGTAATTCTACATTTTTTGCAAAAAGTGATATGAAACGTATTGGTTTTAGAGAAGATATAAAAGAGAGAACAATTGAAAGCAAGGCTAAAACGAGAGGTTTGTTGGCTTCACCTTCTATTCCTAAAATTATTAAAATATTTTACGCTTTCGACAAATCTCAAATGACGAATAATTCAATCAATCTATGCTTTAAAGCAAAAGTTTTTTGTCATTCTATACCTAGTATCTTTAAACCCATGAAAACAACTGGGAGAAAATTTCAATTAAATTTGTCTGTATCCAGGAAACTGATTTGGTTCAATATAAATTTTACTCTATCCTTTGCCAAATACCTTCTTATCATGCCTTTGTCATTAAATTGTAATGCTTTATTAGTCATATTATGTAGTGAACATCTTTTGATGAGAAACAGAGTGGCAATAAATTATTTTTAAAAATATATTGAAAGTCCAAAAAGAAAGATTGAGAAAACATATTTGTTTGTCTTGCTGTATTGATAAATCACAAAACCTTTTTCATAATTGAAAAGCGACTTCTTAACCCTTGCTTTTATCTGAAGAAATAACTTGTTATATCATTCAAAACATGAAAATTACTTTGAAAAACACACAGAGAGCTTGTAGAAGTCAAGCAAAGGATAGCATGTGGCATAAAATTCCTTTTTTGTATTTGAATTCCAAGTAAAAGCACTGCCTGGATTTGCACCAATTTTGTCGCACATGGTGCTAAGTTATAGCATGTTGAATATACTACTAAATTCAGCTTTCAAATCTAATCAAACTAACAGATTGTGATGGAATAAAGATTCCTCAGTTATTTCAAAATATTAAATATTCCCAAAGATAGAAAGAAAATAAATTTGTCATGCACATGCTACACAAACAAGAGCGCAAAAACCGCCTGCAAACTTCAGCGGACAAATACATTGAGATACCATCTTAATGCATAGCTTTTGAAGAAGGTATCCTGGAGGACATCTAGACGGTCCGGTTCCACACTGTTATCGTTTGTTCAAATACCGCTTATCATATTAGTTCAATTAAGCAAAGAACGTTACCTAAATCCTACAAAAGTGTATAAAGCAGTTTTCTGGAGTTTTCACTCTTCTTCTTCTTCCGTCGGATCTTCCACTTCATTCAACTCTTCAACCTCAGTATTCTCCTCCACATTGGTATTTTGATCCTCTTCTGGGCTATCCCCTCTATAGGCACTCGGCCTAGAGCAGTACTTCGGAATGCGGAAGCCTTCTACTCGTTCCAACGAGGAAAATGTCCTGGCGAAGATGGAACTGCTTCTTTTGTTTTCAACTCCTTTCATTGCTTCATTCTCTAAAGATTTGGCTAATTTTCTCTCTTTGGAAGACAAACGGAACATTCTCTTTGCAGATTCAGGTGTTCTTGAAAATGATAGACGACGCAATGTTTGAAGCTCTCTCGTGCTTAGTTCTACAAGATACAAATAAACAAGACTAATTCTTTGAGCATTTATTCAAGCAGCTAAAACGGCAATAGAAATGTCGGACATCTAAGGTTTTCTAGCCTAGGGTATTTTCTATCTTTATAACGTCAAGCAAATACAGAGCTGCTAGACGTTATAATGATAGAAAGGCCTAAAGGCACGTGTATTGCGCTGTTTAAGAAGACTTTAGAAGACAGGTTGTCGAAATGGAGCCAAAACCTTTTCAATTAATGTATCGGTGCTCTTCCACAAAGTCAAAAAAGTACGGCCTTCCAGACTGTCGAGTTGCTCGAGTGATGTGAACACAGTGTTTGTGACGTCACGATTATGCGGAAGGCTCGGGCAAACGCGTCCGTGCTCGGAAAAGGTTCGGTGGCTAACTTTGACGCTCAATAACTCGAAAACTGTGTTGAATATTAAACAAATAATAATGTATCGGGTATTTATGCTCGATGTTCTTTCATTTGAGGCCAAGTTAATTTTGCGTGTCAGTCACCTCTAAAGTTGAAATCTTATAACCGGCACTCTATACATCCCCCATCAAGTCTGGCCATGATGCCTGATTACTTAACGTTATCACAATTTACTTTGTGCTTTGCATCATTGATCTTTAAAAAAGATTGAGTAGATCAGCTTTTGTCAGATAACCATATTGTTGAAACTTATAGTCATTCTCTGTTTTGGGCAATTTTTATCTTACATTTGCCAAAATGGATCATAGAATTGGAATCTTCATGTTAAAGTTAATCTGTATCGAAAATGTCATGTTGTTTAGGACGTCAGACAGCAAATTAATCTATTTTCAAGATTTAGCTTTTCCCATAAATTTCAATGGAATTTGTTGCTGTAGTGAAATTTTTTCACTGCAGCAGCATATTCCGGTCAAATCTATGGAAGTATCTCAATATTCAATTAGACCTAACTTGCAACCGAACGGTCCCAACGATATGAAGTTCTCAGTATAAACAAATTTCAATATGAAGATTTCAAATCTGAAGTCAATTATTGAGTAAGATCTGTAGAAAGCAAGATGCAAAATCGATGACCTCAACCTGGAACGGATCATTGCTGGTCAGTAAAACAAGTCTAGGCTTGTGGCAAATCATCAGATTTGAACCCAATTCTCCTGAAAATCCTATTGTCCAGTATCTATGAATTTGATCACTAACGATCTCAACCTAAACAGACAATCTGTGGGTTAAAGTACTAAGCTGTAAGATGAAGTCCCAACACAGAAAGTGTGAGTTAGGATCCATTGGGTTTGATTTTGAAAAAGGTTTTACACACGAACAAGACCTCCAAACTTACTTGCTAAGAATGCTCTTATCTTCTTAGCCGAATGAGTTGTTGGCTCCTCGTATAAAACACGAACTCCACCAGGCAGTCTGCTGTTGTCCAGCACTGCACGTGGGTAATAATTTACGCCAACCATCTTTCTTCTTATTGTGTTGAAGTATGCAAACTTATGCTTGATTCCCTTCTTCTGATAATCTGCCCATATCTTGTCGATAAAGGAGTGATGGAAGAAGAATTCTGGCGCTTCAGCTGATCTCGCAGAGCACATTGTGCCATCTGTAGAAAAGTGAGCAAAATTCAAAATATTAAAAGGGCTGTATTAACGGCTCTTGCGCAACCGGCATGCTTTGCGACCATATTTTCAAAACCGGCCTAATACCGTACCGCATGAAAATACAAAACACAGTCAATTTCTCAAGACAGCTGCCACTAGGCACCTTAAAAATCATTCAAAAGTTTCATATTTTAAGCAAAATAATCAAGAACAAACATCGAACTAAAGTAAATATTTTTGCGTTTAAGAAATTTTAGAGCAGCATAAAACCCATCCTTTTCTTGCTATTTATATTAAGCATTTTCATCCTCACTTTTTTCATTCCTTTTCGTTCAAATCTACAATCTCGGATAAAACTGTTGACACAAATACAATTTTGGAATTTTCTACTTTACGTTGCCCCTGTAAATTCGGATCTCCCCCTTTCCCCAAAGTCAATGCTGGATTTGTAGTTCTATCATTTCCCCTTCCAAATCATGCATTCAATAATAAATTAGAGAAGAGGGAAAGCTTTTTTCAAAAGAAAGATAAAATATCAACTTTACTTGAAAAGTCTCAACTATTTGTGTCCGGGACACTTTTTTGAAGTAAAAAGATGAATTATTCCAGTCCCATTACATGAAATAATAAAATTTTCAGCAAAATCTCCCATGATAATATCCTGACGATAAAAAATCTCTTATGCTAAAAATTAATATAAAAACTAAGAGTAGGGAAGAGTGGGGAGTATAAAAACTAAAAGTTTTCGTGCATTTCAGGTTTTCTTTGATATGCGTTTTTGAAGCAACAAAGTAAAATGGATTAAGAGTAATTAGAAAATAGATATATTGTCATGGAAAGAAAGGATGCGAATCTGAAAATCTGAACTCAATTTGGTGCAGCACCAAGACTTGTTTGGTGCGATTGCCGTTCTAAATGTCGGGCTCAATTGTGCCGCTCACGCGGCTTAAGTCTAAATCACGGGGAATATTTTTACATGAAGTATTTTAGGATTGATAACGGATATTCAAGATGGCCCGAAAACATCAGCTTTGCATTTGTGTGAAGATTGCTGATCCAGATGGAAGCGGAGATTGGCAGAGGTAAGGTTAAAGATTGTAGTGTAGCAAAGAAGAAAGAGAGTTGGAATGGTGCTATTTCTGTCTTGTTGTTGACTGCTTCGAGGAAACTGGGAGCAGCTAAAGAAGGAATGAAGGAGAAGAGAACATGCAGAAGACTTCAACACAGCCAGGGTTGATAGAATATAATCTGAAATACGGTACACAGAAGCAAGAGAGCAAATCACAAGAAACCTTCGCATATGCAGAGACATGTTGACGTTGTTGTTTCCATATTGATTCGCGCCGAAATTCAATTATAGGCATGGGCTCTCCGCCAAAGAAAAAAAATTGTGGGATAGAAAATAAATTATGCATTGAGTTCGAAACATGAAAATTCCGACGTTTGAAAGCCAGCCGCGCTTTGCTTGCATAGCTCGCCAAGATTTGCCGATCCAAATATTTCTGCTGCTCTTAATTCAATCTGCCGTACCTTATCAATTTAAACGTCGCACTTCTCATGTACTTAATTTTCGATTTAAGTTCGGCACATGAAACGTTTGAAACGGGTTTTAATAAAAATTCACTAATATATCAAGCAGTCCTTTTCTTCATTTATTTTCATAGTACCCTAGCCTAAATATTTGTTTGTCCCCTGCCGCAAATACGCAAGCAATTTGGATTAACATAGATTTTGTGACTATGGTATTTTATGTCCACAAGAAGAACATTCAAGCAGCCTTGTTGCCGTCCAAAACATTTAAATTCATTGACATATTTTAGACATATTTGTGCATATTTATTACCTTCAGCGCGTGCGCATAAATCAACGGGTTGAATAATGTCCGGTTTGAGCATCAATGTGAAACCGGATTCGTAGCGAAGTCAAAAGTACATCCGATTAGCTACGCGCAGATGGAAGCCGAGTCCGCAACGACGAAGTGTAAAGTGGGAAGTAACTTGGCCTAGGCAAAGTATCTGTGTACAAGTGGATGGAGCGTATTTTAAAGTTGACAACCATAAATTTACTTACTTATCAAACAATGCATTGTTTCATGGATGTTGACACGTAACATGACTTCAAACTTAAGGAATGTTGGTTCTCTAAGAGTCACTGCCACCTGATCAGCATCTGGGGGGTTTCCATTGAAACCTCTTCGTAAACAGTCACCTGAGGTCGTCTTCCATACTCCAACACGGAAGGGTCCAGTTGTTACACACCCGTCGCCTCTTCTGCCGTTACCACCAAGACCTATAATTAAATCAGTTCAATGCAATATATTTGCCTCTGAACTCAGACGCAACACCAACTCTTTTAGACTAACCAAGATCTTAATTAGGCAGCCTGACTGGATTCATAACCGACTACAGCTATTGTGTTTCGTAAACTATAAGAACATGGTAAGCTACTAGGCTTTGGCCCAATTTGAAGTATTCTTAAAAAAATCTCAGTTTAATGGTGGTGCCGCGAATAGCACATGAAAGGCCATGCAAATTTCGGATTTATTACACGGCAGACCTAAATGTTTCAGTATCTGGGTCATCAAAATCAACGTATTAAAGTAAGCTTTGTGGGGGGGGGGGGTAAAAAGTCTAGGTCGTGCCCTTTTTACTGTCAGAAAACACCCTTTCGCCAGCAGGAATCGCTAATCTTACCAATCATAGAGGGCAATAACTAATATTCGGTTATTTAAAGACAGTTTTAAAGCCATAGAACCACGTTTAAAAAGTACTTTGCCAAAACATCACCCCTCCCCTAAGTTTTTATCATAAAGTTTAGACGAAATACAAAATCATTCCTGCCGATTAGTGAAAGCAATACCTTTATCATTCACAGTTCCCCCAATTTCCCCCAAAAAACAAGTATACCTTGTCCTACACTCCAGATCTTCTTAGAATTCCAGGGATCATGTGACCACAAACTCCAGTCCCAATAGGCAAGTGTTACTCTGCAGTCGACTTTCTGCAACAGATTCTCAATCTGGAGATTGAACCACCTTGAAACAAAAGAGTCACCTTAACATTTTTTTACTTGTTAATATATTCAATAGTTGAATTGAATGTATCCTTTACTTTATGGTTTTGAGAAAGTAGATTTTGGTATTTAAAACGAAAAGCAAAAACATAAAATTCCCGCAAAAGTTAACTTTCGTTGAATGATATAGTATTTCAATTTAAAATTGAGCCCATGATCGCAAGCTGCTTCATATGAAGATAATCATCACACCTTCCGCCTGTGTACTGACTAGTGAGACGAAATTTGATCACGTTTATATGAAAACATTGCATCCAATCCTCCAGCTCCATCCCACCTTCCAGCGTTTAAATGGAAAAAATTCATCCCACCTCAGTGAGATCCCATCTCTCATGCAGCGGTATCCCACTTAACCGGGCTGAGTTGTTTCAATTTAAATGCAAGACGAAAATCACAAAGGATTCTGTAGAAGAGTGAGATCTCACCTCTCAGCTCACAGGCTAAAAGGTGTGTGCAAGGCCCTTAGATATATCCCTATGAATGCTGATCTTTCCATGAGCCTTCATGAGTTAGGGGAGAACTAAAGAAAAACATTAATAAGGAAAGAAGGAAAAGAAAAAAAAATTTAGTGGAAATGAAAGAGAAAATTTAAACAAATTATTGATAAAGAACGGGATATCAAGAAAATATGAATAAATGAATAAATGAATGAATGAATGAATGAATGAATGAATGAATGAATGAATGAATGAATAAATAAATGAATAAATGAATAAATGAATAAATGAATAAATGAATAAATGAATAAATGAATAAATGAATAAATGAATAAATAAATAAATAAATAAATGAATGAATGAATAGTGGAATAATTGATAAATGAATTGACAAGTGAATTGATAAAAATGAATTGATGAATACATTAGTGTATAAATTGATGAAGGAAGGAACATTTTGTAATAAAATTCAGTTAATTTAACATTTTCTTCCTACGTTCCTTTGACCTATGCCAACTAAAATGTAAAAAAAATGCTCGACCTGTGCCATGGAAGAAATTCTTGTTGTTGATGGATTCGGGTTTCAAAGTTTGTCTCGTGCATTTTTATCAGTCTGTCATATGTTCGTTTGTATGGCTGCCTCGTTGATATGGTCTTGAACGCTTTAACGTATCTGTTTTGCTCTGTTAAGGACATCGATTCGAAGTCTTTTCTCACTCTATAGCAGTTGACAAGGCGACCATTTGCGACTGTACATCTCCTTCCACAAGAATCATAACGGAACTTGTTTGGAATGCATTTTATAGGCTCTGTTGACAGAATATCATACTTAATAAGAATTAAAAATTTTCTCTTTAGGTTGTAAATAGACAAAAGATGGACGGGCCTCTTTGACAACGGGCAAGCCTTCAAAATTCTTACTCAACTGAGGTAGCAAGCAATCACTTAGCATGTCTTGAAAATCACCTATGCAAAATAATTTATTTTTGATACTGAATTACACACTATACATAGTAAGTTTAAATCCGATGTTGCCTCTTCTCATGATTATCTTATTACTACTATAGATTTAGGCTCTAAATTTTTTCTGCGACTTTGGCCGATTTCTGCGTTTTTTCGTGGTTTGTGTTGTCACGCCTTATATACTCTCAAAAAGTGAGTAACACAATTTTCTATATTTTGAAACTGAACACCTAATTTGTTTTAACGCCGTTAAATAAAATGTATATGCTTGTCCCTAATCCTACCAATTTTTTGTATTTCTTTATTTCTTTATTTGTTCATTTATTTCTTTATTTCTTTATTTCTTTATTTCTTTATTTCTTCATTTCTTTATTTCTTCATTTATTTCTTTATTTCTTTATTTCTTTATTTCTTTATTTCTTTATTTCATTATTTCTTTATTTGTTCATTTATTTTTTATTTCTTTATTTCTTTTTTTCTCATCTTTATATTTAACCTTTTCTTTATTACTATGTCTTTTTTCCTATAAAATCTTCATTTTGTTTCTTTGTCAACTCATCACATGTAAATTTTCTGATTAAAAAGTTACAAGCAAGAAAAATTAATCCCAAAAAGCCATTACCGGATAAAATACCTCATGCAATGTCGTTACTTTAATGTAGGCTAACGCTATTACGACGGAAATATCGCGTCACATAAATAAGAAAATTTGCCAAGATCTGACCAATCAGAAAATTTCATTTTGACGCAGAAAGATTGCAAAGACTTGCTAAAGTCAATCCTGTAAATATCGCCTACTTGTTATTCGTGATGATCTTCTTCTGAAATACGAGCTTCTGCGTCGAGCATACGATCTTCTGCGTCGGACATAAGATCCTCTGCGTCGGACATAAGATCTTCTGCGTCGGACATAAGATCCTCTGCGTCGGACATAAGATCTTCTGCGTCGGACATAAGATCTTCTGCGTCGGACATAAGATCTTCTGCGTCGGACATAAGATCTTCTGCGTCGGACATAAGATCTTCTGCGTCGGACATAAGATCTTCTGCGTCGGATATAAGGTCTTCTACGACGTCTACTATGCCAGAATGGATCTTTCACTTCATTGTTTGTATCAGCACTGATTCCATTATTAGGTTCTTCTTCGTTCAAGTCGGTAGAAGTTTCAGTTAGAGATTCGTCTTTCTCAAAATCAGCGACATCTACATAGAAAATAAAATGTTTGGATTTAATTTCAAGGTTGATTCATTTTCAAAGCTAAAATTGTCATTCTCTTTTGCATTTAATTTTGGTCTTGAGGGTTGAAATTTCTCTTAGTCCTGATTTGCGTCTAAAATTGGACATTTTTGTCTGTTGGAAAAAGGAAGAAATGAAGCGCAAGTTAACCCTGTTGATACGTGATGCAAAGGAAAATTTGTCTTATTGTACGTGTATTAGATCTCTCTCAGAAATGTTTTCTCCGGAGACCTATTGAGCCACACAGCTTACAACATACCGTAGCTAAAATAATACAATTCAGCCCAGGCAAACGTAAAGTTGGATTTCCCCCCCCCCCCACAAGTGGAGGCATGGGGGTAGTGACTGTCTCATAGTTAAAAGCATACCCTTTTCTTTTAAAGAAAGATAAGTTTATAAAAAATGTTTGCAATCTCTTTCTTAACGCAATCTCTTTCTTAACGCAATTTTTTCAGTTTTAAAAGAAACAAAGTCTACATTGCAAGGCACTTCCATTTTGTCTCTTTTGCTAGGCACCATCTGAACGCTCTTTCAACTGAGTTGATTTTAAGAAATATTGCCGCAATTTTTACTTTTTTCGATCATTTTCACGAGATGTGTATTTTCTAGATTTGCTTTTTTAATTTTTCTAGGTTTCTATGAATTTTTGCAACTTTTTTCCCAGAAGCCCTTGAAATTTTCCTGTTAGGGATATATGCCTTTAAGCGGGTTAAAAGACAAAAGGGAAAGTCATGTGATCATGTGGTCTCTGGTCTACCAATGGTGTTGCAGCACTGATGTGATCATGTGGTCTCTAGTCTACCAATGGCGTTGCAGCACTGATGTGATCATGTGGTCTCTGATCTACCAATGATGTTGCAGCACCGATATGACAACTCAGCGTTTTAGCCCATACTCCTCCCTCCTCGGGCGCCAGCACTGTTTAAAGACAATAAATGTTTGCGATAGTTCGTTCTTCTTACGGTTGGGGTTGGCAGGGCAAAGTTTATTCTTTTTGCTCGACGTAACGGTAATGTTTGTTGCTTTGTTAAAGAAGTTATATAAGACCAGTTAACAGTTAAATCTTGCACATTCCATGTTATGGCAGTCGTGGAAGTTCTGAAAATAAAGGACCTGAAATAGCTTGAAAATCTTGGAACCATGCAGAATTAACAGTAATCCAACAGCATACTTCAAATGGCCCTATCGCATAAAATATGAAACAGGTCTAGCTGTTTTTGCTCATTCAGAGACATTTTAACGTATTCTTTCTGCTCATGCACCCAAAATTCAAAATACATCACTTAAAATTGCTTCTAGTGTCAAGAGAAACCAGGCACACAGCTTGTTTTTGCTGATAGTAGCAAGAAAAAGTGTTTGAAACAATTAAACTTTGCGAACACTACAGAATACTTGTTCACAGCATAAGCATGAGCATTGCACAGCATAAAGTTTCCTGACGTAGTGCCAATAGTGCCGCTTTCGATAAAAAACTTTGAGCAATAAACATTTCAGTACTCATGTCAACAACATTGATTCTCAAAAGATCAATATGACCATGTTCTTGGATCTAAAAAAGGCTTTCGGCAAAGTGGATCACAAAAAATTGCTAGAAAAACTTTCTAGATATGGTGTACAGGGCAATGTGATTAACTGGTTTCGATCCTACATAACTCAACGTCAACAATTTTGCAGAATCAATGGTAAATTTTCCAAGCCCTTAGGGGTAGCATGTGGCATTCCTCAAGGTTCATGCCTAGGCCCACTTCTCTTCAACGTTTACCTTAACGACTTTGAAGAATGTTTAAAGTTTTCATCGGCAAGCATGTATGCTGATGGTACACACACGACAATAATCTCTGAAGACATTAACCAGCTTACCCAAATGATGAATGAGGAACTAGAAAATATTTCTGAGTGGATGAGGATCAATGAATTGAGTGCCAATCCTAAAAAGACTGAGTTTATGCTTATCGGTCATCCACGTAGAATAATAAAAATTGAAACTCTAGCTCCTCTGAAACTTAATGGCACAGAAATAAAACTAATGAAAAAAACTAAATTTCTAGGTATTATTGTGGACGATAATCTCAACTGGAAGGAACATTTTAAATCTTTGAAAGGAAAAGTAGCAAGTGGTCTGTCTGCGTTGAAAAAACTGAAGCACATTCTTCCACAATCCAAACTATGTGAGGTTTATCATGCGCTGGTTGAAAGTCACCTCTGATACGGGGATGTTGTCTGAGGCAGCCTGCCAAACACGAAGCTACAAACGCTTCAGCGTCTACAGGATAGGGCATTCTCAATTATTGAAAATGCCAAACGAAAGGACCCCTGGAACAGTGATTGGCTAAGCGTGGATCAGATCATCTTTTTTGATAGATCTATCATAACACACAAAATATTTAATAAGCAGTGTCTCGAGAGCCTCTGGAACAAGAATAATCAGAGGATTGAAGTTTCTAGTTATAGCACAAGGAACAATAGAAATCTCGACATCCAAAAATTTAAGCTTGAGAGTACAACAAAAGGATTCCACCTTTCTGGACTTAAAGCTTAGAACGAAATACCCATAGAACTAAGGGAGATCCCCACGCTCTATCAATTCAAACAAAAATTAAAAGCTCATTTGAAGAGCTCAGGATACCCGAATTAAAACACGACTCCAAGGAAAATCAGGCGTCAAATTCCATTCACTCATATTATTAAATAATCTGTTTAAACTTGTGTTTTCCATTATTAGGTTTTTTAACTAATCATAACTTGTACTAAGGTTTCGTGTTGAAATAAGAATTGAATAAAAAAATGTTTCCACAGGATAAAAAATTAACTAGATTTAATATAGATATAAAAAGCTTTGAGCAATAAACATTTCAGTGCTCATGTTTCAAAAATTTAGAACAGTTTGACAGACTAAGGGGTAGAGGGTCATGAGTAGCAACATTTAGAGACGAAGGCATAGATAAAGAGAAATTTAGGTGCTACTTCACCTACCGATAGATGATATTACCGACAAGCCAGGGAATCTTTACACCAACTAAAAATTTACCGACAAACTCATTGAGAATTAAGGGGTTGTCACACCCCCCACCCCCCTCCCCGCTTGCTACGTCGCTGTGTACAGGGCTGCTAATAGAAGATTTTGTTATAAGAAACATGTTAACCTGTAGAATCTTTTAAATTCTACCACAACATTTATTTTCTATAATGTAATGAAAGATTACACACAAATGCTACTCATTTAGAAGAAACAGGCGCTCGAATTTCAATTTTGTTGGTTTGTTGAATATAACGAGTTAGAAATACCGCAAGTTCTTTGCTGTTCTTTAAGTCTGCGTGGGATTGGATATGCACATTGATAATTCAAGTTTAAGATAATTTGATCTACGAATTTGAGTATTTGCAGTACGACTGAAAGAATGTCATTCACCTTTCAACTGCTTGCAAACCAATATTTTCATTCAGGCGAAAAATATATTTGTAGAGCTCAATACAGGTTTACAGTTGACAAAAATTTGTTGGCTTGAACCTAACATTGGTTCTTTTAGTGGTCAGCTAAGCTTGCTTGCTGATTATAGAAAAATTTCCATTGTTATTCAGCAAGAGTAGCAGAATATAACCTTCTTACATTAACCCTGAGGTAAGCTTGAATCAAATACATGCAAAGCCTCGTTGACAGTCTTAGTTTACTACAATCGAATTCCAAAATTACTACAAATATTTGATTGTAGAGAGGTTTGGCAAGCGCAATAAACTTTTCGTTTAGGCCTCATTTGCCAACAAAGTGAGTGAGACACTAGCGCCCGCACATTGCTAAAAATTCTCCTTTTTGAGATAAAACGTTGTTCCAAATTGCATTTTACAGTAGCTCAGCCTCAGCTTGTTCTTAATTTGTGCTTAAATTTAGACCAATTTTGAGGCTCGTGTTCGTATAAAAATGTTCTTATAAAAGAGAGTGTTTATGAGCAAATGCTTTCCTACTTTCAGCTGCCCGTAAGTTGAGAGATGGGATGAAAACATCGCATTCTCTATAGAGTTATTATAAGACAATTTATATATCTAAAAAATGCATCTAAAACATGCCTGTGAAATAATTGGCTAGGCTTGAAGGTGGGATAATTTTGCCAATAAAGGCCCTTATTTCTTGGCTCAAAGATTTGTGTTTGAGAATAAAACTTCCAATTAAATCAGGGAAATTTGTCCTAAATACCCGGATACAGTGGCACAGGCAATGGTGTCGTGGAGGGGGAGGGGCCTTGAAGGGCTCAGCCCCTCTGTTGAAATCAAGAAAAAAGCCCCCATGTAACATGATATAAATCAACAAATATCATTTACAAATAACGCGTTTGATAAATAAAAAAAGATTAATAAATTACTCAGATAAGCCGATTTCCGATGATTCAACTGCAATAAAACTAATCCGTTCAATGGCACCAATCATTACCGCGAGACCAAATTTAGTTTGGTGTGGTTCCGCCTTTATTATATAAGCTGAAATTTTAAAAAAGCTGTCACAAGAATCAGTTTGCATTGTCCTTTCTCTCCTTATAGAACTGTTGCATTTTAGACAAGGACCGAGATGGGGGGGGGCATGTATCTCGGCCTGACCGTTTTCTTACCCTGGGTACCACAGCCTTAATGGCAAAGTGTTTGACCCCCCTCTTCTGCTGAGACTCTGGTACACAGGGTACCTATTCTCCTATTTATTAACAACACGAAGAGAAAGTCTTGGAATGAGAGAGGAAACAACTTTTTGGATGGAAAGAGCATGCGCATCAAGCCTAATCTTGCCCATTGCCCCCAGGAAGGTATCTTCGTGGATTTTAGGCAACTCTATTCATAAATTGAAGTATTGTCCCCAAGAAAGTCGAATTAAATCTCAAAGCACTCGGGGCACAATTGCAATTTTCGAGGACGTGTAAATTTAAAACGGTCGCGAAATTCTAAGGGCGAAATGAATGTACAGTTGATAGTTTTAGTTCGAACTGGGTTGAGTTTGAAAGCGTTTCTCAACTTCTTATTAGCCTGTGCCCCAGTCCACAAATGCTGCCTTTGTGGACTTGGACATAGGCTACTTCTCATGCGAAGTATTAATCTTCTATCCCATTAGAGATTTCACTTTGTGGGCATTAGAAAACTAGCGAGAATGGTCACGTGACGCCACTGGAAATCATGGATTTTTTTGATAAAATTATTTGTTGTCAAATCAAGTTAACTTGCCTTACAATAGTCAGAAAGAACTAAAATTGCAATTATTTCTGGGAAAAAGTTGTTTTTTGGATGTAGAAACGTTTTTAAAGAGGGCTGATTATTGATAAAAAGTAAGGCTGTAGGCTTAGAAAAATCATCAGGGACGTAGCTTGCGGGGGTGTGGGGGTGTATTTTACATCTCTTTACCCACCCCCCAGCAAGAATGGTCACACGATGCCGCTGGTCGCAGAGGTTCTTAGGCATCGCGCGCGCATACACAACACGTGATAAATTATAGCTTGGCCCCTCCACTTTCCAACCTGTGCCGGAGCCCATGGTAAAACAGCGATTTAGATGATAATGAGTGGATTCTGTTTGTTTAGAGCAAGGTGAAAAACACGGAAAACGGAATGACACGAGGGCCACGCCCCCTTACTATTGCCTCAACCCAAGCATACTGCTTACGGTAAGCCTAGATGGAGCTAAGAGGACTTCCCAGTTTTGATGGGGTGCTACTTGAGAGCCAAGAGTGAAGGAGGATGAGGTGTTGGTGGAAGTGAAATCCAGTATTTTAGACAAAAATTTTGCCATCACAATATAATGGAAACATTTCATTTTCAATTCAACTTAAACTACAACTACAAATCTCACTATTACAAGGTAATTTGCAATTGGCTAGCCTGGTTTTACAAGAAAAAACTATAACAATCGTAAGGTAAAAGGAAAAACTGAGAAAAATAAAATAAAACAACTAAAGTTAAAAAGGATGTAATTCCGGATTTGTCCATGGCTTATCTTTGCAACAAAATATGTAGTACGTAGTACGGATGGCAATGTTGGAAAGTTTAGAAATGAGATACTGTTTTTGTTGCTGATCGATGGAGAGAGAGTCACACATTTTGAAGAATGAATTGCAGGAATTGCCGAAGATGCCAAGAGAGCTCATAGAAAGATTAACAAAGGAGACACATTTGAACTACTATAAGAAGATAATAATAATAATATTATTAATAAGGATGACGAATATTTTAACAGGATAAAAACTTCAACAATTACACGATTGCTGTTATCAATGTTTTTCCTGGGACTCATGTTCCGTTCTTACCATAATAATATCGATAATGGATAGTGTATTTAAAAGTTCAATCGGGTCGTATTCCTGATTCCGTATTTTAAGCTCTGGATTCCACATTCCGTACTCTGGTTTTTGAAGTGTACGGTTCGTTTGGTTTCTGGGCAGCCCAGGCAGAAGATATTTGTCACTTTAAAGGGCCCGTGCCACCGGAGATGGCCACACCCCCCCCCATTTTTGCGAAGCAGGAAGTTTTAAAGCTGTAGCATAAGGGGTAACAAGCATTGGCCCCCTTTCTTTTTTAGCCTTGGTCCCCCTACTTTCAAATTCGTGGCGCGGGCGCTGCTTTAGATATTTGTGACTTTGAGTCTTACAAAGAAAATAATGCTTAAGCTTGGGCGTTAACAGTACTTTGAAAATAGACTTAACAAAAGTTTGACGAATCGATTAATCTATAAAAAACTTTGAATTGTGTTGATTGAGTTATATAGCAATCAAACCTAACTGCATGAGAGACATGACACACATAGTTTATGATCATCGGCAATGGATCAGTGTTGATTGGGTTATATAGCAATCAAACCTAACTGCATGAGAGACATGACACACATAGTTTATGATCATCGGCAATGGATCAGTGTTGATTGGGTTATATAGCAATCAAACCTAACTGCATGAGAGACATGACACACATAGTTTATGATCATCGGCAATGGATCAGTGTTGATTGAGTTATATAGCAATCAAACCTAACTGCATGAGAGACATGACACACATAGTTTATGATCATCGGCAATGGATCAGTGTTGATTGGGTTATATAGCAATCAAACCTAACTGCATGAGAGACATGACACACATAGTTTATGATCATCGGCAATGGATCAGTGTTGATTGGGTTATATAGCAATCAAACCTAACTGCATGAGAGACATGACACACATAGTTTATGATCATCGGCAATGGATCATGGGCAGCTTCCAGTATCAATGTGTTTCTATAAAGAATTCTGGTGGTCCAAGCTATTTGTAGCTCCCTTCGAAGGATAATTACAAAAGTTAAATACCTCAACGCACCAGCCCTCCTATCTCAACCCTCCTACCTATCTCCTATCTCCTACGCTGTTGCTAAATCCGCATTCCAAGAGCCGAAAAAAGTAGTTTCGATTTCCCAGTTTAAAGACCCTCTATTAAAGCAAGAAGGAGCGCACACGCTGACGCCCACGCCCACGCACACGATGAGTGGCGGTCCAAGTTTTCGTGTGTAGGGTGACATAGCTCCTAGTGACTAAACTTTTTATCAAACTTCACTCAACTCTTTTAACTGCAAGCTCTCTACGACGCTGTTGGGTTGTAGCAGGGATGGCAGGAGCCCCCCCAAAAATTCATTGAGCCCCCCCGTCGGCACTTGAATTTTTGAAAAATTGTAAGCAATGTCGGCACTTTCATAACTTAAATAGTCTTTTGAACTAGAATTACCACAGCGAAAATGATGTGATATTACATCTTTGTGGGTGGTTCACTCACTGTCGGCACTCTGACATTACAGCCCCCCCCCCCCAGCATTTCTTTTCTGGCGCCATCCCGGGGTTGTAGGGGATCTTGCAAAGGAATCGTCTCGGATAGGTGTTTACACTGTCCCGTTCAAAAAACAGAACCGTGACGGTACAAAATTCGTTCGCTTTCAAAGCAGGGTCCAAATTGTTCCGGATAGCAGAGCAAAATCGTCACGGTTCAACAGTGCTAGTGTAAACGAAAGGGCGAACCACGACAGTTTTGTCACGGTTCCAAATTTGCACGGGACAGTGTAAATGGGGTCTTATAAGGGCTTTTGGGGTCACGTAGAGACAGAAAAACCGACGAAAACCGACGAAAACCGACGAAAACCTTTAGATTTCCACAGCTAGAGCGCCTTCGCGATCAGAACAAATGGTTAATTGGTGGCAAAATGACAAAACATTTGCTAAACAACGTTAACATTTTTGACCAGGATCAAACTTTTCTCAATAAAACTCAACACGACTGAACAACACTAAGCAGGGTGGCAAAACGACTAAACTTTTGACTAAACAAAAGTAGAGTGAAATGTTTAGTGAAGCGTTTAGTCCTTTTGCCAGCGCTTAAGCATTAGTAAGACAGTATGGATATTTCTTTCGTTTGGACCAATCAGATGATATATCAAACAGGCTTTGGAACCCCCTTGAACTCGTTTGTAAAATCCAGAATACAAGCTTCAAAATAAAATAAACAGAGCAACTTTCGGCTTGAACCGCTTGTGGTCGGGGACCCTTAGATTTTGAGCTAAAGGTAACTGTCCGTTGCGGCACTTTGGTTTTCTACTTTATTGGAACCAGTGTTAATCTCCCTTTGTACTGGAACTCTGGTATCATACTCAATGTGAGTCGAAACTTCCTTCCAAAAAATAAAATATAAGAACAAAGTTCATTCAATGGCTGAAGTAAAAGTTGACTTCCTTTTGTGAATAACATGCGACACTAAACCGCACACTAAACCGCGAATGCGATTTTTTTTCGCTCAAAAGAAATAGATGTAATTCGATGATACTTTAATGGTATGAAATTCGGAAAAATGGAAAAGTCCGACTAATCTTTCTTACATTTTAGAAAAAGCTCCCAGTCTGTGGGGATGATTAAACAATAGAAAACATCCAATTGGATAATTATTTTAAAGGTTTTCGAGTAATTTACACCGCAAAAATGGGGAAGGATTTTGGTCAATTGCGATCATTTTACAATCATTTGTTCCACATCAAAAAATTCCTGTTATTGGCATATGCCTTTGAGCTTATACTCCTTACACTGCAAGGGACTTGATTGTTCGAACTCCCTTATCACCGTCCCTTTTCTTTGGTCTTTTTAGAAGGCTTAAAAGTTTTTGACTCGTTTTAGGTAGCAAGAGTGAACATTGGACTTGCGGAACAGAAAAACACCGTATCGTCGTAACTAATTTGAATAGGTCCTCTCCCCGGGCACAGCCTCAAACCAATTCTTTAACTTTCATGCACGCTTTTGTTTATAAGAACAGCCCTAATAAGAAAGGTCATGCTGAGATTTGCCAAAAAAATAAGAACTACATAAGAAGCAAGGTAGGCTGAGATTCAACAAAACTAAAAATAAATAAAATCCCAGCTGAATTTGAAAATGAAAGAATAGGAACAGAAAAACAGAAAGCGATAAGCGAAATGGCATTAATTACTTTATCAAGCGCATGTGTTGTCCGGACATTACTATGCATAGGAAATTCAATTTAAAAATGAGAAACAAAATAAGAAACACGTCAGGCTGAATTTATGCGAAAAAATGAGAAACGCCAGGCTGAAACTGGAGCTAAGTTTTCTTATTAAAAAAACGTGTAAAGGAAAAGGCGAGGTGAAAACTACCTGTCTGATGTTCGCAAAGTGCAGCAGCTACCAGAGCCAAAATGAGCAGTAATTTAAACGGTCTCATCTTGCCCGTCTGTCACCAAGACACTGGTGAAAATTGTCATCTGAAACTCTAAATATCTGGCGTGGTCATTCAGGCATTTCAGCCATGTTAGACTTGTTTGCCAGTTACCATGACTCCATCGTCTCTCATTTCTTCCTATCATACCAATGTAATCTTGAGCTTGGCAATTTTTTACATTTGCTTCAGTTATTTATCGCAGTTTCACTGTTATTCTTTCCTTATGCTTGTCAAGTAGGGTTTTGATTGTATTTTCTCGCTGTACAAAGTCTTATTGTTTATTTGACACAATCTCTCCCCATTTCGCATCGCTCTAGCCTGCGCCACAGACCAAAACCTTCCGGGCCCCTCCTTTTCATCCTATACGTAAATGATTTTGAGCGATGCTTAGAGAAAAGCTCAACAAATATATATGCAGACGACACTAGCATAACATGCTCTGCAAAAGACATTGAGGATCTGTGCAATGACTTAAAAACTGAAGGTAAGAACATTGCAGAGTGGATGCGGCAAAATAAGCTTAGTCTGAACAACAATAAAACTGAATATATGGTCATTGGTCATAAAAGACAAATCAACCGGATCCAAGGGGAGATAAACGTGGAAATAAATGGAGAAAAAATCCGATGGGCCCATGAAGTAAAATATCTAGGAGTCACTATCGACGAAAACCTATCTTGAAACAAGCAGTACAAGAGGCTTAAGTGTAAACTTAAAAATGGTCTTTCTTCGCTGAGGAAATTTAAAAACATACTCCCTCAGTCGAAATCAGACCAGGTTTACAGGGCACTTTTCGAGAGCCATTTAAGATACGGTGATGAATTATGGGGAAGTCTGTCCGCTAGAAAGCCTGAACATCTTCAGCGTCTTCAAGACAGGGCTCAATCAAACATCAATCGAAAGTGCTAAATTTGAGGACGGGTGGATTTGTAAATGGCTTTCAGTTTCGAACCTATTCAAATATGACAGGGCCATAATGGCGGCGTACAAAATGATGAATGGTCTTTGCTTCCTAGTCTGATTCCTAGTCTTAAGTTTGAGTTTCATCATTTTTTAAAGGCGAATCAGGGTGAATTTTCAGCTTTGTCATGATCATTACATAATCCACTAAACAGAAATTTTCCCAAGAAAATTCATACTGGAATTTGCCTCTCCTTTTTTATCTTAATTGTAACAATGGCTTCTGCTGGAGCAATATTTTTCTGACGGGTGCGCGGGGAAAGTTTCTTACTTTGTAGTAATGAATTTTCATTTGCAAAATATCCCGAAATTATCAATGTGTTGATCATAAACTTCGATGTGTTGATCATAGATCGATGATAGTATCAAAAGTTGACTATTGGTCTTAATCAGCAGCCATATTCCCAAAATTTCATCAAAATTAAAGTTTTGGCGCTGCAATATTGTTTATAGCATAGGGGATCGCCCCGACCATCGGGGATCATCCCCGACCGTCGGGGATGGTCCCCGACCATCAGGAATGCTGTGCATCTGGGATCATCGCCGACGGGTTACGATATATGAAAACCAGGCTTTAGAGGTAAATTCATCAATAGATCAAAGATAACCAGTCATTCGACAAGGAATCAGCTTGATATTGACATCCCTAGGCAAAATTTGGAATTCTCAAAGGGAAGTTTATTTTACTGTGGGGCCAAAGCGTGGAATGAGATTCCAAGAAACATCAGAATGAGCCCCAAAATTTCCATGTTTAAAAGGAACTTGAAGGGATTCCTGCGAAGTTAATAAATTCCCAAAACAAAACACGATCCCTAGGTAGAACAGCAACATCTTTATTTTATATATATTAAAAAAGTAATTGTAATAGTTTATTTATATTTGGATTATAGCTGATAGGGAATTCGTGTATAGAGATTTTTTGAAAAAATTAAAATGGTGCAGGCTAGGATCGCTCCTGCCTGCATTTTTCTTTCTTAATTTAAAGTTCGTATAATATCTATGTTTATTCGAGATAATTAAAACCAACTAATTTAAACTACTTACGCTAAATGTACACTCATTTTTTTATAAGAAACAAAAGTCAATGTTGAGTACCCCAGTTTTTCAATTTGTTAATTTTTTATTTATTGTTTTGGTAGATATGTTAACTTGTAATTGTGTTGGCGATGGACCATTTCGGCCTACAAGCCTATCTGCCATCAGTGTCGCAGAGACAGAAACATTTCTTTCTCTGCGACATTCTGCGACACTCTGCGACACTCTACGACACTCTGCGACACTCTGCGACACTCTGCGACACTCTGCGACACTCTGCGACACTCTGCGACACGACACTCTGCGACACTCTGCGACACTCTACGACACTCTGCGACACTCTGCGACACTCTGCGACACTCTGCGACACTCTGCGACACTCTGCGACACTCTGCGACGCTCTGCAACACCAGGGGCGCAGAGGGAGTTAACTTTTTGGGGGGGCAAAGCTGAAAATTTTCCGATAAAATTATGATTTTTCCGACAAATTTTGTTCTCAATACATTCTTCGAAGACTACCCTTGCTGCATATACTGCAACACTTGATACTACAATATCACGAATAGATCTGGAAATCGTTAACGAATGGATCGTTGGTTATACACTTTTAAGTTCAACAATGGCCTTTATTCTAACAAAACTTACCTAAAATAAATCGCTTTGAACAAAACTGCAACTAGTTATAAATTTACACCCTACAAGTCTTCTTGCTATACTAGACAATGAACTGTCACGTTAGTGTTTATAGGTGTTTATCGCAAAAAGTTTTTTTTGGCAAGTTTAAAATCGCATCATAATTACTTTGCACTTATATAACGCGTCCAAAATAATAGTTTTCCTTTAAATGATATTTATATAAACTGTTACTCAAGCATCATCTTTCTCAAAAGAGGTGTGGCAGCATACAAATCGATGATGGCACCATAGTCTATCGACTGTAAAATATCACTTTCGACGCTGATTGTTATCAGAAAGGAAAGGCGGTCTTGTCCCATCGTTGACCGTAGCCGATTTTTTACAACCCTCAGCTTTGAAAAAGATCTTTCATAGTTTGTTGAATCCATTGGCAAAGTGACGAGAACCTTGTAAAGAGGGACCAGCTGTGGAAAGGCACTTTGCAGGTTGTACTTATCATAAACTACCAATACCAAACGATTCGATCATTCGCTCGATTTTTCACTCTCGATTTCTCACTTTTCACTCACGCCAACATAATTAAGGCAAAGAAACGCCGATCGGCTGCCGTGTTTATCTTGCATGCAAATACCCTTTTACAATCTCTTGACGAACTCGAGTGACATAAGACCCTATGCGTCCGTTTCATGCAGGAGCCGCCATTAAATACTTATTTCGTTTAAATAAATTACTATTTTCAGACAAAATTTTGTTTCTTTTGATTAATTCCAATCCTTAAATGAAATTCATCACTTAAAAAGGTCCCCTGGACTTCGAGGCCCCAGGGTAGTTTGCTTCCCTGCCCAGCATAAGAGATTATAACTGCGCACGCGCACACTCGACTCACACGACAAGGTGGCCAAACGATTCGATTTTCATTCGACAACACCTTTTACACTCGACTTTTTTGATAGAGATCAAACTTCACTTGACATCACTCGACGACAATCGATTTGCTCGACAGCTTAAATTTGGCCGGGGCTTAAATCAAGACTTTCTCCTGCAGCCGGCTGAAGGATGCTCTTCTCTCTAACTTTCCTGAATTTGCGGTAATTATTGACGAAAGAGCTGTACTCATCTCTTTATTTTTCGTCATCCAGGCCGTAATTCTTCGCAACCTTTTTGAATGACACTGCACACAACTGCCTTTCAATTAATTTTTTCTGTTGAAAACATTCAGGGTTGAGCAAGGCAAAATCTGTCAAAATTGCCTTATGAGACGTGAATCTTGTAATCATTGAGCTGAGCTGATAGCTGTATCTACTATCACGATGATATACGGATTCCCTATTTCCTTCTAATTCATCCATTCCCCTGGCATCTTTTTCTTTCTGCGTATTCGTCGCTCGACAAAATTTTGCTCTTCTAAGTCATGGCGAAAACAATAAATTTTTGCGTCTTCTACAACACAGCGAGTTGAACTTTAGCTGTCAGAAATGAGAGTTTATAAAATAACTGAGACCAGAGCGTTAATTTCCTTTACAAATTTCAGCAATGCGAAGATTCCGAAGAAAACTCTAAAGAAAATAAGTAAGAGCATGCCCTATTTTACGATAGGTTTAAAAAATATGCGACCTTTTGGACAGGATCAATGAAAACCTTACATTTTGTCTAATATTTCAAATTTTCCGACAAACGTAGGATTTTCCGACTATCCGACAAAATTTTTGCCAGGGGGGGCGGCTGCTCCCCCTGCCCCCCCAGCCACTGCGCCCCTGTGGAACACTCTGCGACACTCTGCGACACTCTGCGACACTCTGCGACACTCTGCGACACTCTGCGACACTCTGCGACACCCGGCGACACTTTGCGACATTCTGCGACACTCTGGGATTAATGGAAACACCTTGCGAGTTATTTACGTAATACATAATGTCACATCGAATACTGTTGGATTTTGTTATCTTTTTGTTATAACTTCGGACCCCTGTGGTCAGTCGAGGAGAAGGAGTCAAGAGTCGAAGATACACGGAGCGGTCACGCAGGGAGTTGTGGCCGCATTTGAACTCAAACGAACGGTTTTTAATAGCGATTACAAATTATACATTATACTATCGACTTGTGTAAGCCATTCAATTGGTTTATTTTACGATATATATAATCACACTAATTATAACCTCGTTCTTAATGTTGGACGTCTTTGGTCATATTACGCCGAGCCCCGTATACTTCTTAAGATACAGATATAAACTTCTACAGTTCGTGCCTTGTAGTGGTGTCTGCAAGATAGTCAAATATTCAACAAATACTTTCCGGATTCAGATTTTAGGATGGCAGATTCACCAATTGTTAGTGCCGCTCAATTACCCTAAAAAACCTTATAATTTTCATTAATATACTCACAGAAGCATCTTGGGTAATAAAAATGTATATTTTCAAAGTTTTTAGAGCGCCTCCCTTAAGCCTGGTTTCCATTAAATCATTAAG